TACCGGTTCCCTCTACGTGATTTAGACAACGTTTCATTTTTTCTTCTTCTTTTTTCCCCCCTTCTTCTTCTTCTTCTTTTCGATTCTCCGCACGAACCACACACTCTCCTTCGAGCTTGAACTCTCTCCGCTGCGCATCGATCGCTCTCTGATGAGGATCGGTCAGATTCATGGCCGCTTAGCGCGAATTGATGCACGGGCATTAATTACGCGATCGGGTTCTCCGAGTTGCGTTGCCTGCACTCGCACAGCCTCGATCGTGGATCGAGCCGAGGTCGACAACGGTGGATCCTCGCCGGGCCCTTAGGGATTCCTGCCGATTCATCAAGCATCTCCGCGGGAGTGCGTAGCAGAAGGGACGTCGATGGATCATCGCTCGCGTCGAAGTATCGCGGATGATGGAAATTGAACAAGCTTGCTGCCTTACGCTTGTCAACTTTCTTGCTTCGTGCAGGGAAATGGATGGAATTTGGAATATTATGGTGATTATTGTAATAAATTGCGCGGTTCTTAATTAGCCATCTGTTAACTGTAGGAAAGGCTTGGCTGCTTTTTGCGGAATATTTATTGTAATAATGTTTAAGTAATAATTTTTCAATTTGCAAGAAAGAAAAGGACACTGACGCACAAAGTTCTCAAACATGAGGTCACCCATCTAAGTATTAACAATAGATTAGAATGAATAGAAATAATAGATTTCCTGAATTTTCTGAGTCCATACTTTAAACGTAAATTTAACTCCTCGAGTATCAGAGGTATCCAAGAATTTTAACCCGTTTCTTCGATCCAAGGACCAAGGAATTTTTGACATCGATGATCATTCAGTGCACTTAAAAGATCTAACGTGTAGGCGATAGTTAAATACACTCAAGATTTCCCAACGGTGCAGCAACCTTTTAATCTGGGAATTTACTTACGCATTGAAGTTTCCATTACATTTGTCATACGTCTAAGTGTAATTACTACTTTCAAACTTTCATTACTCGCACATATTTATAAAACCTTTCTAATCTCTTATTTATTCAACAAAACGTAAAAATACTAGACGTATTATAAAAAGTAGCAAATACAAGCCTCTATTAAGTCTAACAGGACACTACTTGCGCAACCTTTTAACGAATTAACGATCTTCCAACGTTCGAAGCCAGCAATAACTCCGACGTCTACCAACTTCCACCGTGAAGTGTCGAAAAATGAAAGAACCGAGCAAACATCTCCCATTGAACGCGTCAATTGAGCGTGTCGAAAAGGTGACGCGGATCGTAGTCGCGCGCGACTAATCGCGTCGCTAATAACTCCCGGGATTCCCGCGTTTAATATTATCGCTCGTTCAGCGGCGATAAATATTAGTTTGGAAGAGTGGGTCCGTATCTCGGTTTTCAGTGTAAATGCAAAATCGCGCGTAATTTATGCTGGCAAGCAACACGCCTGGCTAGCCGAACCCCTGCGGCGAACTTGCAACGGCTTCATAAAGCCTGTGCACGGCTTGCCGCGCGCCGCAACCGCAGACGTGCCACCGCCACGGCCACCACTCGTTTACACACGCACCCAATAGTGCTAACGTGCCGTTGGGGACTCGGGGAACACTCTTCCTCCGGATAAACTAACAGATCTCGAAGAGTGAGAGAGATAGAGAGGCTCGGAAGCTGAATTAAAAAGGTTGCCGCAATTTTTTTACGGCTCGTCAAAGGCCTTTAATTTTGGTTATTTCTGTGTGTGTAGAATGTGGTTGCACTGAGTTTGAGATTTCTTTTTTTTTTAATTATACCTGTCGAAATATTTGAAGAGTTCTTACTTTTGATTACAAATTACCTGTGAAATTGTCTAATATTCATATTTATTGTTAGTAGGCAAACTTGGTCGCTTATGTTTCAGTCTAATTTTTTACTGTTCTAGGCTTCTAAAAAATCTGAGAAAATTCTGAGATACTTTTAATCTAATTTTAAATTGACTTTGACTGACATTTTTCCGAAATTCCACTTGTAGTATAAAAAAAAAAAAACGCAACTGAGTGTAACACGTTCGTAAATAGAAACCGCGTTATTCACAAAAGGAACCAGACCGACGCAACTATCTGTCAATAAACGGTTCATTTAGCAGCATGCGTAAGCACTTGTCACTCCTATTTCCTCGCTCTACAACTCTCATCGACTTCACTCGATAAAATCACGTAACAGGAGGACAATTTTCAAGTCGAACTACTTCGAACTGCAACTCGGAAGAAGTAGATACACTACCGGCGTACACGCGCAAGCGAGCCAAATTTATTCGCGAGGCCTAACAACCCATCCGCCCGGAGACCGAATTTAACTCGAGCGTCGCGACACCACGATGGAAGATTGACCGAGACGATTATGCTTTATAAATGAACCCGGGCGATGAATAATTAGCGGAACGCGTAATATTAATGCGAACATAAGGGGGTTCGTTTAAATGGCCCCTGTGGATAGGCCGTGGTTCGACCGCGATAGCATGCGCGGGCATTACTCTAATTGATTTCCAATTTCCTCTATTCCGGAGGAATGATAAATTGGGCGTAATAGCGTGCATTTTCCTTGAATATACGCAATCATAGTTCGCGGCCGGTAATGGTCAATTACGCGGGGGAACGGTTGGAAAGGTAGCGGAGCGTACCGGAGCACCAAATTGAGTGCCTATTGATCAAGAGGCCTTTCCATCGTTCCCGATGCCTACCCGTTGAATGAAATACTCACCGCGTGTCTAAGTGGAAGACTAATTGCGCGTGTTGTCGACAGGTGGAACCGTCATTCGTCGTGCGTCGGGACGCTAATGAGTGGGTTCCAAGGGAAATTTAGAGCACACGTGAAATTTCCCCCCTCCCCTTCTTTTTTTTTGCACCGTTCCGCGTCTGGCATGTTATTACGTTATCCTTTTTTTCTTTTTTCTCTCTTTTCGTTCCTCGTGACATTTTCCAACGGGGACGACACATGCACACACGCAGACAGACACGCGTGGTAATTTTCTCATGATGAAAATATCACGGTGCGTTCGATCGTCTGAACGTTCTATTTATAGTGTACCCATGAGATCAGTGGGTCTTGTCGCGCACATTCCGTCCCGGCTATTAATCAGCGGCGAGAAAATCATTTTCTACGTTCGGTTTGCTCTACGTTTAGATTGTACCCGTCCGCGCTTTATATTCGAGCATGATTTACACCGAGGATAGTAGGATACGTAGCGAGGATTGCCGTTAATTTATCGTGGATTTGATTACGTCTTGTTCGGAACGTGAAGGTTGATTGGTTAATGTTATGCTTGCGTCGTGTGTGAATTGATGGTTTTTTGTGTTTTCGAGAGGAAGAGTAAAACATGAAAGTGGAAGGTGGAGCTAGTGGAAACGGATCGTGCGTTGTCAGACGCGTCTTGAGTCAGACCGCTGCCGCGGGAATAATGTTTCTCGCTAATTTTACACACTTGCGGTGTTTAATTAATTTGAAATTTGTTAAACAGTTTTATCATACTTTACGAATTTCAATGTAATTATCTGTTTAAGAGTTTGCACCACCTTTATAATGAAAGAACCCATGTTTAAAACAAAATCATTAGTTTGACTAAAATGAATTTTGTACAGTGAATAAAAAACTTCAATACACTTTGAGAAAAGGACGAAGATTGTGATGCCTCCATTTGGCATTAGTTAATTACTTTAATCGCACCAGTAACTAAATATTAAAAACTGGCCAATATTACCATCTTTCAATGCATTGCATTTTCTATCACATGACATAAACAATCCTTAAAATAATGTCATTAACCCTTGCCTTGCAATAACAGATCACACTCTTGATCCAGATTACGATCAAACTACCAAAAATGAACTATTACACGTATACTAAACTTGAATCGTATACTCCAACGAATCATCAGAATGTCCAACTTAACCGAACCGAAACTTTCTACCAAATAAATTTTCCCGCTTTCAACCAGCTCGTGACAAATCTGTCCGCGATCTCGACGAAAATTGTATCTTCCACGGGAACACGAGAGTCAGGGTTTCTAATAAATTCGTCGGTCATTATTAGCGGGCTCGCGTCTCGAAGGTATTGTTCCCTCGTTAGCGCGTCGTGACGAAGAATTTGTGCTCTCCTGGCGCGGTTCTCACGTGCTTCGGCTCAACAATCGTACGCGTTTCAAACACAGACAGACACACGCACAGAGAGTGTCTGTAACGGGGACGGAATCGCATCGGCGGATGCGGTAACGTGGAAACAGGAACTCTGGTCTTCAGCCAATAACGCCTCCACGTGGTGGATCGCTAAATAAGGCAGCCGGTCCAGCTCGAACGTGGGTCGTTGGGTGGTTTCGCGTGATTTTTCATCGAGCCTCGAGATAAAAGTAGAAAATTGCCGGCTCCGACCCGTTACTATCCCCGCGCATTGTTCGCGTTATTGTGGGAAATCGTTGTCGATCGAATCAATACGAGGTTATTAGGCTCGCCGAGCTTCCCCGCTGTTACTTCTCTTCCTATGGTGGCGGGGTATGAATGGACAGGCATCGAGTAACGGAAACTTTCCACGTAATGGTTCCAGGCTTTTTCAACAATTTACAGAAAGATCTTGTTTCGTATTGTTAGCTGCGAGATCCGTTCGATAGTCACGATTTATCGTGGAAAATGGTAATTTCATCTTCGGATGAAAGTTTCGAATCGAAGAAATGAAACACGTCTGCGTGGGGAACGTTATCACGTTGCTGGATATTTAACGTGTTCGATATTTCTTAAATATGTTGTCCAAACAAATGGACATTGAGGAATTTTATATTAAACGATGTGAATTCAGTATCGGACCTCGATTAAAACGAGAAGATATGGGAATAAGAGAAACCTGCCCAAAATTAAAGAAAAACTTACGGAAAAGTTAGAAGAAAATTAGAAAAAAGGTGGTTCCAAAATATTAAAAGAATTAATGGAATGGAATATACAGCATAAAAAAATGGTTAAAATTCTGAAATGTTACATAGACACGCAAACACAGACTCACCACAGGGTACAGCAACCAGTTTCGCCAAACTCGTCAGAAACTCACCTGTAACAAAGGGAAAAAAGACAAAAATTATCACTCAATATCTCTCCATCGTTCGGTTCCTATAATCTATCACTTTCATCTCTAATCACCGCCGTAAAACCGATTCTACGATCTTCCAAACCAGCATAAACGACCAACCATCCACCTATTGACTCTTCATCGAAATCGCGATTAGGTAACGATACTGGCCAGGAAGAGACTTTAGGCTTGCTTAGTTAGTTTCCCGACGCGTTATCCGATTCATAATCGGATTATATCGGATTATCAGATTATAATCGTGGCTGTATCGTGCTCTCCTCGCCTCGTTAGCACCGAGCATATCGTCTTAACCAACGAGGTGTTTCCTTACTGCCTACCATCCAGATAGAGAATCTTCTTGTTCAGTCACTTGTTCCTCGCCGATTACATCGCTATGTAAATTTATCGTCGTTACGTGTGCGCGACCGCCCTTTTTTCTCTCCCCTCTAGTTACGTGCACGTTGCACGACCGTGACGATTACGTTGCCCTCCAGTTCCTACTCTGACGTATAATTCGTTTTCTGGAAAGAATACGATCCGGTCAAGAGTCGACCCTCGAATGGCTGTAATTGAATGGAAGAAGTTCGTCGTAATTAGTATCGCACATGTTTCCAACGAGGGATGGAACAATGTCGCGCTCTTCGTGGATCGAGATTTGCGGCTTGTTAACCCGTTGCACTCGGAGATCATTTTGCTATAGGAAAGGTTGCAAATCGGATCTTCTTCGAAATTCTTTAAAACTAACGTAGAAATGAACTACGCTATTTCATTTAAATATTCAACGTATTCTCTATTCCACCATGGTGAACTTTACGGAGGCCCGTAGATCTGCTCTCTGTCTTGATTAATTATTTACCAAGTGACGATTATTTAACGTCTCTTCTCAGTCGCCACTCGATTGCAACGGGTTAATCCGCTTGTTGAGGTAATCGAAGTATTTATCGTTCGATTTTGCAACGACATTACTACCAGGTTACGTTTCGTTGATTTAGCTTCAGGTTAAATTGAGAGAGGTCAAATGTGAAATTAAATTGAGCAGAGATTATCGTGCCTTCGTTCATCTGGAGAAAATCAGCTTTTACCGTTTGTAGGTAAATATATGTATATCGTTTTTCTTCTAGAATCATTTGTGCAAGTGTGAAGAAATTTTTATTAGCTGGCACTAAGGAATTATTCAAATTTTCCCGTGTCTGTGTAAAAGGTGAAGTACCGATGTTATTTTTATTTGCTATCGCGGAGAGTTAATTGAAGCGGCGGTGGGTTGTGCGACAAACGATCGTGGATAATTATGCTTGAATTGTGAAAAAAACGGCGAGTTGATATGCGGTAGGATTATGATTAAGAAATAAGTATATACAGGATTATTGGGATTTACACAGGATAATTAAATGACAGAAATCATTGGGATTAAGCAAGCACGCGGAGTTAACGAGTTGTAAACGCTTTCTTTTATTATAGCAAAAATGGGATCGTGGGTAATTTAACTCGGGAGTTGTGTAAGCTAATTGAAGGGAAAGATCATTGGAATTAGATGAAACCGCGTATTAACGAACGAAAGCGGTTTTTTATTACGTGGCTGAAAAGCACGTTTGATAATCCTTTTTAATTAGAACATGCTAGAATTGTCATAAACTGCGAAATGGATCGTGAATTGGTATTATTATGCAATTTATACAATTATCGATCTACTTCGATTTTCTATCACTGGAATTACCCATTCGTTGAATATTCCTTCATTATTACAGTTTCCCCAGATCGATCTTTCGAATCTTTTCAACGCAGTAAAATTCGTAGTAGCCCCGTTTCACGTGCATTTTCCCGGTTAATCGAAAGAATCAGACATTACGAAACCGTTCGACTTTTCCCTCGACCGCTTTTATGTAAGATTCTGTGCACCAGAGGTACTTGCCTGTGTTTAGCTGTATTTCAAAGAGCTCCGTTTTAAAAATCGCCGAGGTAAATAAAATCGAATTACGAAAACCAGCGTAAATCTAGGAAAGGAGTGACATTTCTATACAAACTCAGCGTTAATTAAAATTGACAATCACGTGACATTTTATCATATTAAACTTTCTCTCCACTTACAAGAAGTTTCAAGCAAGGTCCCTGTGTTTTGGTTGAATTTCGTATTTTTAAATTCTTACAGGTATGAATTGTGTTCCGTACCGGACATTTTCTTTTCTTTAGTTTAATATTTCAAGGCAGTTGTAAAACGGACCTGAAGGATCCGCGGCCCATAGGATTAGCCGAGACGGTTAGAAACGCGTACTCTCGGTAAAATCATAAACGAACGGCGTTTTCAAGACTCGTTTTTACGATCTATTGTTCCGACTTCCTAATTATTAAGGTGGTACTTTCCTTCTTTCATGTCCGATCTCCTTTTTTTCAGAAATTTCCCAAAACCCAGACACCTCATCCTTGTACCACCACTTCTACCCTCTCTCCATCTACTTAAGAAACACCCTACGACCAATCATCGATTTTTTATGTTCCCCAATTTTTTCACCTCCCAAATTTAACTCCGCCTTCAATAACTTAGATACATGTTCTCTTCCGAATTTCGAACCAATCTTGTTCCGAACGCCAACCAAGAAACAACCGAGCACTGAACGATCAACCAAGCTTTTTATGTACCATAACGTACTCTGTGACCGCTTCAGGCCTCGTTAAAGATTATCCGAATTTTTTCTCTCGTGATCTAAGTTTGCAATACAACGCAAACCGACGCGAGTACACGACAAATTGTACGAAATCGTTTGAATATGCAAAAATTTGAAGAAGATTCATTATGTCACCCTTCCTTAAACAACAATCATCGGTCCCGATCGAAACGTGATCGGCGTATCGATTCCATCCACCCTCGACTCATTGTTTATCAATCAAACTGGCCAACCACCGGCGCGATACCTTTTTCCCCCCGTGGTCGGTGGACGATAATAAATGCCTCCCATAAACCGGCGTCGGCCACGAAATCTTCGTCGAAGGAGTTTTTCTCAGCGGGAGTGATTGACTCTCTTTGCCCGTTCACGAGGATGCCCCATTACACACAAGGTCCGTTGCCGTGGCGTAATTGCACCGCGGGGCCGGGCAACATAATCGTCCCGATTAATAGCCGATCGATTAATTAAGCCTGGCCAATAGTCATCGTGCAGCATGATGAATAGAGATTTGTTATTCACCGGTGAAGGATGTTGAGCTGGCCAGCGCCGATACGTGCGTGTAAACGCGCGAGTTCGCGAGTCGAGCCATTAATTATGATAATTGATTCGCGCACCTTCGCGTTCGGCAAATCGAGCCGGTCGAAATACCGGGCCGGCGCGTATCGTGGGAGACGAGCAGCCTCGAGATTCTTCGGCTTGCATGAATTTTAATCGCGTTCCTCCCTCTCTTTCTCCTCTGGTCACATGGCGAGTGAAATTAAGGCGGTGAATTGAAAAATTTATCGAACGTGCGGGTTTAGCTGTTGGTGTTAACACTTTTGCCACTGTGCGTTCGCTCGTTTGACGTGTTATCGTTGAAGAAGGATTGTGAAATGAAGGGAATTTAATATTATTATTAAATGTAAAGTAATAATTACAATATAAAGTTCCCAAGTTCTTGATATTAGGATCTCAATTCTTTTGTTATTAATACTAGAGTGAACTATAATTTGCCAAGTATAGTAATTTAACTCGTTTGATGCGTACGGTTACAAAAATATTGTCGAATACAGTAAATTCTCTACAAGAGTCAGTAAGTTTGGATTCTACAAGTGACAGTACAGATGGTCCTACGCCTAGGTCTGAGCCCATGATATCTCGCTTGCAGTCAGTCAAGAATGTAACGCTACACCACTCGGTTTCCTTTACGAGATTTCACAGCTCGACAAATCATAATAGAAAAATATAATTTCTTTAATTTTACTTTTTTTCATCTGGAATTTTTTTTAACATGTTGGTGAGATTTTTCTGATGAAAATGATATCAAACACGATATAATTTGAACAACATTTACTTATTAACACGTTCACTGTCGCGCCAGATTTACAGGTTGCTGTCAGGCGGCCACAAGAAAATACATTTTAAGCATAGGATTATAGTATTATGCTTTATAATTTTTTTTTCAATTGAAAATAACGTCTAGCTAGCTATGACGTTCAAAATTTTTAGTTGACAACATTTATTTTATTTTAATTATTCTAAACATTTGAGGCACTCCAGTCACTGATAACCACCATGGCCATATCGAGGAAACAATCTAACGTTAAAACTTATTGAGTGATTAATTTAATTTCATAATATATCGCTTTGGATGAATTACAAAAACAAATTGCTAAAAAATTACATTAAATACCTGTACACATTATCCGTCGAATGTAGAGGGAGAGCCACCGTTTGGTTGCCAATTGTTTATCACATAGAGTCGGCCTACATCCA